CTAGTGAAGGGGGCTCCTGTCGACCAGTTACTAGTGAAGGGGGCTACTGTCGACCAGTTACTAGTGAAGGGGGCTACTGTCGACCAGTTACTAGTGAAGGGGGCTACTGTCGACCAGTTACTAGTGAAGGGGGCTACTGTCGACCAGACTGCCATACATATATATCCAGTCTACCTGTCATTAAAATCCAGAATCCTTTAAGGCTGTTATATAATCTCTGTATATGGCTTTCCTCTCTCTCTCTCTCTCTCTCCCTCCTCCTATCTCTCTCTCTCTCCCTCCTCCTATCTCTCTCTCTCTCTCCTCTCTCTCTCTCTCTCTCTCTCTCTCACCATTATCACGCTCGGGCCTGAACAAACTCTGCAGTAATTGGGTACTTTGTCGTAAATCGATTAGCTGAGGTAATATTCTGGGTGAAGACTCCAGGAGTAAGGCTTTAAAATGAGCCGTGTGACGCAGATCTCTTGAGTTTGGCAATATTTAAGTGGGAACAATTTTGCACACGCGCCTGCATCCTGTCCACAAGTGCTTCAGCATGTCCTCAAGTGCTTCAGCATGTCCAGAAGTGCTTCAGCATGTCTCAAGTGCTTTAGCACTGTCCTCAAGTGCTTAGCTGTCCACAAGTGCTTCAGCATGTCCTCAAGTGCTTCAGCATGTCCAGAAGTGCTTCAGCATGTCCAGAAGTGCTTCAGCATGTTCTCAAGTGCTTCAACATTTCCTCGAGTGCTTCAACATGTCCTCAAGTGCTTGAGCATATCCTCAAGTGCTTCAGCATGTCCTCAAGTGCTTCAGGATGTCCTCAAGTGCTTCAGCATGTCCTCAAGTGCTTCAGCATGTCCTCAAGTGCTTCAGCATGTCCTCAAGTGCTTCAGCATGTCCTCAAGTGCTTCAGCATGTCCTCAAGTGCTTCAACATGTCCAGAAGTGCTTCAGCATGTCCTCAAGTGCTTGAGCATGTTCTCAAGTGCTTCAGCATGTCCTCAAGTGCTTCAGCATGTCCTCAAGTGCTTTAGCATGTCCTCAAGTGCTTGAGCATGTCCTCAAGTGCTTGAGCATGTCCTCAAGTGCTTGAGCATGTCCAGAAGTGCTTCAGCATGTCCTCAAGTGCTTGAGCATGTTCTCAAGTGCTTCAGCATGTCCTCAAGTGCTTCAACATGTCCTCAAGTGCTTGAGCATATCCTCAAGTGCTTCAGCATGTCCTCAAGTGCTTCAGGATGTCCTCAAGTGCTTCAGCATGTCCTCAAGTGCTTCAGCATGTCCTCAAGTGCTTCAGCATGTCCTCAAGTGCTTCAACATGTCCAGAAGTGCTTCAGCATGTCCTCAAGTGCTTCAACATGTCCTCAAGTGCTTCAACATGTCCTCAAGTGCTTCAACATGTCCTCAAGTGCTTCAGCATGTCCTCAAGTGCTTCAACATGTCCTCAAGTGCTTCAACATGTCCTCAAGTGCTTCAACATGTCCTCAAGTGCTTCAACATGTCCTCAAGTGCTTCAACATGTCCCCAAGTGCTTCAACATGTCCTCAAGTGCTTCAACATGTCTTCAAGTGCTTCAACATGTCCAGAAGTGCTTCAGCATGTCCTCAAGTGCTTCAGAATGTCCTCAAGTTCTTCAACATGTCCCCAAGTGCTTCAACATGTCCTCAAGTGCTTCAGCATGTCCTCAAGTGCTTCAGCATGTCCTCAAGTACTGCCATATTATCACACTTGTTGCATTGTGCTAAAAATAAATAAATAAATAAATAAATTAAGACTTGCACGATATTCATGTTTCCTGAATTTGTCTTGAGAGTTTGTGCACTCTTCCACTTGAGCACATTGCAACACTTTGCAATGTGCTCACCGTCTTGCAGATTGTGGCAAAGTGGTGCAATATGCGCCCCTCCCCCCCCCCCCACCTGCAGGCTACCAGCCCAAACAGATTATAATTTATTTTTTGTTATGTCTGTTCTGGAAAATGATGTGAAATGTATTTTTTTCTGCTTCACGCTTGAGGAAAATAGTGTGTTTGTGTTTTTTTTTTACTTGCCTGCCATTCAGTAGCAGATGACGGGGTTAAACAGGTTGGTCTGTCAGTGACTGGATGGGTGTACGGGGAGGTGGAGGTGTGGGGAGGGGGGAGGGATGAGTTAAGTGGTGGGGTTGTAAGGCCTTGATGAATTGGGTGTTGGGTAAGGTGTATTGAGAATGTTAGATGGGTTGGTAGGCAGGAAGGTAAGTTGATTCATGTGGGTAAGGGGAAAGGTAGGTGTGTACTCGCCTAGTTGTGCTTGCGGGGGTTGAGCTCCGGCTCTTTGGTCCCGCCTCTCAACTGTCAGTCAACTGGTGTACAGATTCCTGAGCCTACTGGGCTCTATCATATCTACACTTGAAACTGTGTATGGAGTCAGCCTCCACCACATCACTGCCTAATGCATTCCACCTGTTAACTACTGTGTGTGTGTGTGTCCCTGTGTATGTGTGTGTGTGTCCACCTGTGTGTGTGTGTGTGTGTGTGTGTGTGTGTGTGTGTGTGTGTGTGTGTGTGTGTGTGTGTGTCCGTGTGTGTGTGTGTAATTACCTAAGTGTAGTTACAGGATGAGAGCTACGCTCGTGGTGTCCCGTCTTCCCAGCACTCTTTGTCATATAACGCTTTGAAACTACTGACGGTCTTGGCCTCCACCACCTTCTCACCTAACTTGTTCCAACCGTCTACCACTCTGTTTGCGAAAGTGAATTTTCTTATATTTCTTCGGCATCTGTGTTTAGCTAGTTTAAATCTATGACCTCTTGTTCTTAAAGTTCCAGGTCTCAGGAAATCTTCCCTATCGATTTTATCAATTCCTGTTACTATTTTGTATGTAGTGATCATATCACCTCTTTTTCTTCTGTCTTCTAGTTTTGACATATTTAATGCCTCTAACCTCTCCTCGTAGCTCTTGCCCTTCAGTTCTGGGAGCCACTTAGTATCATGTCTTTGCACCTTTTCCAGTTTGTTGATGTGCTTCTTAAGATATGGGTACCACACAACTGCTGCATATTCTAGCTTTGGCCTAACAAAAGTCGTGAACAATTTCTTTAGTATATCGCCATCCATGCATTTAAAAGCAATTCTGAAGTTAGAAAGCGTGGCATAGGCTCCTCGCACAATATTCTTTATGTGGTCCTCAGGTGATAGTTTTGTATCTAGAACCACCCCTAGATCTCTTTCTTTATCAGACTTCTTTAAAGATTTCTCACATAATATATAGGTTGTGTGGGGTCTATGTTCTCCTATTCCACATTCCATAACATGGCATTTATTAACATTAAATTTCATTTGCCAAGTGGCGCTCCATATACTTATTTTGTCCAGGTCATCTTGAAGGGCATGACAATCATCTAAGTTTCTTCCTTCCTATTATCTTAGCATCATCAGCAAACATGTTCATATAATTCGGTATACCAACTGGTAGATCATTTATGTAGACAATAAACATCACTGGTGCAAGAACTGAACCCTGTGGTACTCCACTTGTGACATTTCTCCAGTCCGATACATTGCCTCTGATCACTGCCCTCATTTTTCTATCAGTCAGAAAATTTTTCATCCATGTTAGAAGCTTACCTGTCACCCCTCCAATATTTTCCAGTTTCCAGAACAACCTCTTATGTGGAACTCTGTCGAAAGCCTTTTTTAGGTCCAGATAGATGCAGTCAACCCAACCATCTCTTTCCTGTAATATCATAGAAACCGAGTAAATTCGATACACAGGATCTTCCAGATTGAAAACCATACTGTCTGTCTGATATTATATCATTTCTCTCCAAGTGTTCTACCCATTTAGTTTTAATTATTTTTTCCAATATTTTGACTATTACACTTATCAGTGATATCGGTCTATAATTAAGGGGGACTTCCCTGCTTCCACTTTTGTAGATTGGAACTATGTTAGCCTTTTTCCCACACCTCAGCTACAACTCCTGTAAACAGGGATGCCTGAAAAATCAGTTGAAGTGGAATGCTGAGCTCAGGTGCACATTCTCTCAGAACCCATGGTGAAACTCCATCTGGACCAACTGCTTTGTTCTTACTTAGCTCCTTGAGCATTTTTTCCACTTGGTCTCTAGACACCTCTATGTGCTCTATGTTGTTCTCTGGAATTCTTATTGTATCTGGTTCCCTGAAGATTTCATTTTGTACAAACACACTTTGGAACTTTTCGTTTAATGTTTCACACATTTCCTTTTCATTTTCCGTGAATCTATTTCACATTTTCAACCTCTGAATATTATCCTTTACCTGCAATTTGTTGTTTATGAATTTATAGAATAGACCTGGTTCTGTTTTACATTTGTCCGCAATCCCTTTTTCAAAATTTCTTTCTGCCTCTCTCCTCACTGCCGTGTAGTTGTTTCTCGCATCTTTGTATCGCTGGTATGTTTGGGGGTTCGGCCTCTTCCTGTATTGATTCCATTTTTGTGTCTTTTGGTCTCTAGCCCTCTCGCAATTTCTGTTGAACCAATCCTGTTTCCTAGTTCTGCATCTCTGTTTTGGTATAAATTTTTTTGTGCCTTTCTCATATATTTCACAAAACTTGCCATACATCTCATTCACTTCCTTGCCTAGCAACAAGTCTGTCCAATTATACTCACTAAAAAAAATTCTAAGGTCGCCATAATGTCCTCTCCTAAAGTCAGGTTTTTCAATTGCATCAACCTTTATATTTTCTTCCAGATTATAACGCATTGCATACTTTATTCCCAAAAAGACATGGTCACTTTTACTCAAGGGAGGAAGGTACTGAATGTCAAATATTTCTTCCTCCTTCCTGGTAAATATCAAATCTAGAATGGAGGGAACGTCCCCTTCCCTCATCTTCGTAGCTTGTTTAACATGTTGATACAAGAATGTTTCCAGGATGAGGTCTACAAATTTACAGGTTCAAAAATCTTCTGTTTTAGCTTCATATGCTTCCCAGTCTATGGATTTCAAGTTGAAGTCGCCGACTATCAACAGTCGTGAACTATCGTTATCCGCTCTCACTATAATCTCTCTCATTATTGTTATAAGACCTTCTCGTTTACTATCTAGTTCCTCCTTTGACCATGTGCTGCTTGGCGGTGGACAGTATGCATTTATGATCATTAGTTTATCATCCTCATGGCAGATCAGTTTTGGAGCTTGCCTTCTCCCCTGGCGTATGGGGTTCGCGCCCCTGCGTCTTCGGGTTGGTTCGTCTTCCGGCTGTGGCCTCCTCCGGCCCCAAGCCCGGGCGTTCGCGCCCGCCGCGATCCGCTCCGAGGACATTATCAGGTGGGGAGTTTGACTGGGGCGGTACATCTGTCAAATGATAACGCAGGTGTCCTAAGGCCAGCTCAGCGTGGACAGAAACCTCGCGTAGAGCAAAAGGGCTTATTATGTCAACTTCTTGTGGATTGGCAGTCATTATTTTATTCACCTTTAGGTGTTCTTTCACCAGCACAGCAACGCCACCACCTTTCCTAATTTTCTGTCCCGTCTCCAGGCTGAGTAGCCCCTTGGGAATATGACCTCATTTAAAATAACATCTTCAAGTTTTGTCTCCGTGAGTGCAACAATGTCTGGTGTCTGCAGCTGTATTACATCACTTAACTCCAGTACCTTCGATCTCACTCCATCTATGTTGGTGTATGCAATCTTGAGGAACTTGTTCCCCCTCTTCTTATTTTTCACTCCCCCTTTCTCTAATGACTTTGTTGGTTTGCCTTTATGTACCACTTTACTGGCCTGCCTACCCCTATCACTTTGTTGAAAAAAGAATTGATTTCTTCTTCATTCCTGCTCTCATTTAAACGTTTTGCCTCGGCGAGGTTCAGTTTCAGCTTCTCTCTATCTTCTTTTGAAAGATCTCGTCTTAACGACCACACTTTCCCATCCTCATCACTTTGTAATTTTCTAACATTCCTTAGTTCTTCTTCCATCTGTTTGGTACCATTTAGGGTGATCCTCAAAGGTCGATCTTTCCCTTTTACATGTTTAAATTTACTTTAACTTCTTCCAAGGCTATTTTTAAGAGTTTATTTTCTTCTTCCATGGCTTTGTAATTTTTTTCCAATTGATTCTTATCCTTGCACAAGTCTTTCACTAAACCCTCAAGACATACAACTTTGCTATTTAAATGGTCATTACTTTCTTTCAATTTACTAATTATTTCTACATGAGAGGTCACTATAGTATCTAATTTTACCAACTTGTTGTATAGACTGGTTATCTCAATGCTTTCTTCACTGAATCCAGCAAAATCAAGCTCTGTTTTGTATTTCCTCTTGCCAGCGGCCATCTTGAATGTTGTTCTCTGCACTGGAAACACTTGGGCAACTTTTTCTCATCCACTATTTCACTTCCCTTGGCACTTTCCTGTTATCTCACCTATTTTTCAAGAGCACTATACCTTTATGTTCTCTGGGACACCACTCACTATCATCATCCTGTACTACAATACTTAGGATTGTTGAAATATGCTGGAGCTCCTCTTGTCTGCCTCTTGGGAAAGAACTAAGGGATAAGATCTAAGTGTGTGTGTGTGTGTGTGTGTGTGTGTGTGTGTGTGTGTGTGTGTGTGTGTGTGTGTGTGTGTGTGTGTGTGTGTGCGTGCGTGCGTGCATGCATAATTAGGTGTGTTTAGGAGTGCATGAAAACCACGGAGTCTCTCTCCCTTTTCACCCTGTAACTAAGCTGCCTTTCAA